AACTACACCATAGTTGTGTATATGATATGTCAATAAACCTTAGAACATCTTGAAATCTTGAAAGGGATGTGCAAAATAGCCATAATATACAGTCTTTAATGAACTATTAGTAGAGAATAACGAGTAATGAATATACTTTATAAGGATCTGCAGATAAATGTTTAGTCTTCTCAAACACCAACTATCAAATATCTCTCCTGATTGTTGGCACTTGACAATCACCTTACCTGAATTTTACTCAGGTGTAACTAAAGTCTGCTTTAAGGGATGTTTATATTTCACATCATTAATCAGAATCTGCAAAGTAACTAAAATAAATGTAGTGGAGTAAAAATACCAGGTTCACCTCTGAATTGTAGTGGAGTAGAATTACAAAGTAACAATGAGCTGTCATGTGGGTATATATTAATGCTGCCCATTATGGATACAAGTGATTTTCACCCATTTAGTAATTACATGTTTTAAATTTGTACACACCAATTTGTTTCCTATCGCCTAAACCTCCAGGGCTGTACACAGTTTAATACTGTCAACTTCTAATTTTGGGAAAAACGAAAACGTCTTTTAAAACTACAATTCCCAGTAGAGACGTGCCATAGAGAACATGTTGCGAAACACAATAGCCAGCATGTGTAGTTCTGGGGGGGCGTTCGAGTCCAGTTTTGAATAGTCAGCCGTGGTTTCGTTCCATTTCAAAGAGCTTGACGCTCGGCGTAACCTTGGCGCACTGCCACTCCAACATCCAATCCCAGAGCTTGAAGATTAATCACGGGGTTTGTCAACGGGACTGTAGTCCCAAACGATAGCTGGGGATTATGGGTAGTGTAGTGTCTTCGGCCATCCTAAACTGAATTTTTTTTCGGATAAAATATTGCATTAACAACACCACATCTGGCGTCACAGAGATCTTCTGTTACTGTCCTTTCTTCTTAGAGGAAGTACAGAAACACGTAACTCTGGATTTGTTTTAATGTTTGAGGTGCAATAAACGACACAGCAGCTTTTTGGCATGTTAAAACTATTATTTTCTGCCTCGCTCATGAGTAACAGCTGGCAAAATTACAGCCTCGCCTACTGATTTCAAATGTGTGCTCCAAAATGATATTTATAAATGACTATATTCATTATTATAAGCAAGACAATAAATGGCAAAGATATGTAGAAATAAACGTATTTAAGATACGTTCACAAGAAACGTAACGTGGGAGAAAATATGTTTCTAGAGGATATGTAGAAAATAAACGTATTTGACATACGTTCATAACGAACGTAACGTGGGAGAAAATACGTTTCTAGCTAAACGTAATTGAGAATGCAGTTTAGTTCTGTGGGAACGTATTTTTTAGGAGACAGGGTTGCTACAAAACAAACTAGAAACACAATTACCCCGCATGCAAACACACATTTCTGACCTCTAAATTCAAACCAAGCGAATCAAGGCGTATCAAAACTTCCCAGGTTGCCGATTATTAACAAAGACGGAGAAGATTGACTTACATCAGTAGTTCTGGTTGGTGTGAGAGTCGTGACACCTTGAGTGACTGCTACAAGGTAACCAACAGCAACAACAGCGTTCAGTATCACTCCATTACACTTCAATGTTGTCTGACACCGTGTTTAAAACTAAAGCCTCCTACAGAACCTGTCAGGTTACACAAGAAGACTATGAAAAGAAGAAATCTCAGAAGTCAGCAAACTTTACACTGAGCAATCAACTTGGAAACATAATTCTTACAAAAATATAACCATCCATATCCCGAGGCAAAAAATAACTCCTGCACTCACGCTGGAGACATTACACTCTCTTTCCTCTTGCTACAGGTTCTTTGTTGACTCCCTGAAAGTGCTTACCTGTCACTGCAGCACAGTGGGCTGTCAGAGTGAGTGTGACACCAGCGAGCCGGAGCAGCCTGCAGCCAGGACCCGCCATCAGTCACCCACACACACACACACGGAAATGTCTAACTAACCAGTCTCTGAGGTACAAGGCAAGGCCACCCTGAAGCCTCAGCAGAGCAGCTACACACACAGCAATGCCTCCCTGCTGTCAGCACTATCTACCTGCTCTGTGTGTGTGTGTGTGTGTGTGTGTGTGTGTGTGTGTGTGTGTGTGTGTGTGTGTGTGTGTGTGTGTGTGTGTGTGTGTGTGTGTGTGTGTGTGTGTGTGTGTGTGTGTGTGTGTGTGTGTGTGTGTGTGTGTGCGCACACACACACTTGCCAGATAAGCTGCCCTCATATGTTTCTGTGAAGCAGACCAAACTTCTGTGAATACCAGCAGCTCTCTGCTGAAACTGCACTTCAGCACCAGATGCTGCTTTTTTCGCTGGCGCAGCACATTTCTCCCTCTGCTTCACCCGCTCCCTCAAAGGATGGCCACATCAGTGCCGACGCTGAAAAACTGCTTCCCATTTCCTCCCCCTTTTTCCTCACTATTAGGGCTAGCTGTGCTAGGACACACACACACACACACACACACACACACACACACACACACACACACACACACACACACACACACACACACACACACACACACACACACACACACACACACACACACACATGCAAACACTAGACAATATGAGATGGAAGTGAGGAGGCAGGTGTACGAAAGAGGAGAGCAACTGCATATGGATTACATGGTTTAACTGAACATTACATTAGACCTATGTAAATGTTTCAAATTCTCAATGAAAACAATAAACACCGATCTGCTGCTGAAACAGACTCCATTTTAAGACATGGCTGCAGGAAATTGACATCATTAAACCATAAGAGCAGTCAGGCACTGATGTTGGGCGTTAAGGCAACACATTTATAAGAAAATCATTTCTTTGACGAAGAATAGGCATATTTTAAAACAATAGTCCAGCACCCAATAAGAGAGGAAGCATGTTATGAGGTGTTATGATCCTCACCCCTGATTTGTCTAAGGATTTGATGACTTAGGAAACTACACTTGAACCTTGCTTTACAGGTGAATGTCATGTTAAACAGCAATGAGCAGGTCCCAAACTATACATTAACAGCACTTTAGGTATTTAGACACAGGTGCTTGCACTCTTTTGCACTCTGCCTTGGCTGCGTGTGTGTCTCTATGAACTTGGGCTATTCTGGGATCTTCTCCCACTACATCTTGTTAAGAGGGATAAAGTTGAAGTGTGAAAGTGAAGTGTTAAAGTGTGAGGAAAGCCACCGGACTGCAGCCTCTGCTCCTTCACTCCCCAACACACACTGATACACAGTGAGGAAATCAATAAAAGCATTCGTACAGCAGTTCATCTTCAATTTAAGTTTATCGACAGTACAGGAGGAAATGGAGGAAAGAATTTGTAAAAATAAGTGTGGTGATGATGGAAGACAATTAGTTGAGGAAGATGAAAAGAGGACAGAAGACAGACAAGGCCGATGAGATTTTTTTTTAATTTGACAACAACAAAGACAGAGACAGGACATGAGGACATAATATTATGAAAGAAAGCAGACAAACAAGAGAAGTAACAGTCATGATGTCAGCACAACAAGACTAAAAGACAAACAAAAACACAATCAAGTCCATGAAGAATCGACAATGATTAGGAGTGTTATGAAATGTTGACCACGACAGCATGGGGAATGTTGATAGGTACCGTTCAAGCAGAGCCACTGAGAATGTTTCGGGTTAAAATAGCTTCGCCTCACCCGAGAAGCTTTAGAGACAAAAAACGTATTTGGGTACAAAACAACACGCAGTCAGTCAGTCACCGCAGTGCTCTGAACGCACATCAAGAACAAAGTGAGACATCTCGCCGTCTTCCAACTCCTCTAGGTGCCTTTGTTTCCACAACACTGTTTTTGATAGTTCACACATTTATCAGCATGGAGCTCCCAGAATCCAGTTCAAGACTGACAGCATATCTTCAATGACAAACATTATAAATACATATTCTATAATGTTCTTTACTGCATCACAAAGTGCTTTATTCAATGTAGACTACCCTTCCCTTTAGGCCACAGTTACTATCCTGTGCACTTTCACGCAAAACACAATTATCTGATAAATCAGTTAGTCTATTCATTTCAATAGACTAAAGGCCCGGGAAACTATTTGTCAATTAAATGAAGGTATTGTCAATCAAGTATCAAGTCAAATGATCAACACTAATAATCAATGTAAATGATCTGCAGTTGGATGCTAACTTATGAGCAGTTGGTCCTCTCTTAGAAGGATTGATAATAGAGTGTATTGTATAAACTTTTAAAACATGCTACCAGGGAAAGTCAATGTATAAATATTGTAGGTTAAGATGGGTATTTTAAAGATTGGTATTTTAAAACTAACCTTGTTTTACATATCTTCCTTGAGGGATAAAGAGAAAAAAAACCTAATTTTACGAATGATGCAGAATTCATAGCTCTTCAGTTGTAAATATTTTTTCAATAAACACAGCCAGCCTTAAAGAAACAAAATCAAAAGATAAAAAATGGATAAAAATTATGGAGCTTCAAAATATATGAAAGATAATAGTGGGAGTCCAATTAGGCTGAAATTAGATACCTCCCCAACCACTGCCTAAACTGTATTTTGTCTGTTGGTTTTGAAGGAGATTATCGAATGTGTTTTCTATAGCAAGTATTTAAAATTAATATGTGTAAAAAAAAAAGAAGAATAAAGTGCTACTGATGGTATAATTTTAAGGCACAGAATCAGCTCTGTGGTACCGATTACCTGACGTCAAACTAGAGAAAACCCTAATGTGTGCAGTCTGCAGTCATAAATACCTCATCCCCTGCTTAATGTGGGAAACCACCTTTATATGCACTCACAAACCCCACTGTGCACCCACTGTGCACCCCCCCCCCACACACACACCCCCAGACACACACCCCCAGACACACACTCAGTCAATATCTCCCCAGTCCACCTCTGGCTCATCGTCCATACTGATGATGAGGTAGGACAGCAGCTGGAAGAGGTTTTGCCACAGCAGCATGGCCACGTAAAAGTAAATGTCGCTTACGTCCGTCTGGCACGTTTCTCCGGCGAAGCTCATTTCGCACACGCAGGCAAACCTGTTGATGAGGTTGCGGCAGTAGCCTCCGTTCAGACAGGGGTTGGACATGCACTCATCAGTCTCCTGCTCACACCTACAGACACAAAATCACAATTCAGTCAGGGACACTGTTGATATGTACATATGTATTATATGTTTGGTTTATTGATTGTGTTATCGACCATTTATAGAAATCTTTCTTTAAATAGGCTCTGAAGAGGAAAATGCTCTGCTGTTTAAGGGCACTCCTCAAGCATCTGAGCTCTGCAGGGAGGATTAACCTTAGTAAACACGCGTTAACATTAAATATTAGTTTAGTCAATAATGATGGAGGAAGCTGCTGCAGCAAACAATGATGGCAATAGAAGTGTAAGGTATTTATTACTATGTACAATTATTTGTATTTTTTTTGTTTGGCATTTTTTTGGCATTTAAGTTTTCACTTCATATAGTGCTCTAAATCGCATGAAATTATGAGCTGTTTAGTTTGAGTTTTGTTTTATGTATGTTTTGTGTGTGTGAGGACCCCAGGAAGAATAGCCAATGCTCATGCTAGTGCTAATGGGGATCCTAATAAAGAATAAGGAATATGATTGGTCGTCAGCTGATTCTGAGGCCTGAAGCAGCTCATACAAATCCGCTAATGCAAGTGCGAGTCAAGCCTCCCGTCTTTATAGTGCTCTCTTTATGAATCAGGGACGATAGTACATTTTGTTCCAGTATCTCAGTCTGCTCTGGATCTTATTTACAATGATTTCATAATATATTTTTCTTTCCTACCGGTGTCCATTGAATCCGGATGGACAGTCACAGGTCAGCTCTCGCTCTGTGCAGTTGCCTCCATTGAAGCAGGTGTAGTTCCTGGTGTCATCTCCACACACAGAAACAGGCAGCTTAGGCCGTCTGGTAGGAGACAGTGAGACATGCAAAAAGATAAATACAAGTAAGTTATTTTGTTTTTATTTCAAGCAGTAATATCTGAGGTATTGAGGCGTTTGGCGTCTTTACGTCTGCTGGAAGCAGAAGGATCAGCCAGGCAGGGGCATGCCCTCCTGCAGCTCCCCACAGGGGGGACCACACTAATACGATTAAAAACCTCTGGCAACTATTCACAATCAAAAAGTCAAAACACATATACAGGAATTAAAACGCCAACCATTTCTCTCCTGGCCCCTGTAAGCTTCTGTTTGCCAGAAGCAACTTGGAACTCATCCCTCAATGGTAACAAAATACAGGCTTTTTTATTTTGAAAGGCATACCATTTTTGTTATTGAAGTTTACATTTAGAATCCAGAAATCATTTTTGATTTACAGCTGTCACTCATTTGAAACATTTGGTATTTATTTTAAGACAAACGGTGTCAAAGGAAGCGTTAATATTAGCTTTGCTTGGCATTTTGTTGCACACAGTTAAACGAAAGAAACGGAGACATCGTACATGACATTTGAGAGACGAATATCTAACAGGAAACAAATAGTGAACACCTGAGAAATGGAAGAGGAAGAAAAAAACAACTTACACTTTTCGTGATGTAACAATGTACCACGGAATTTCTTCAAGGCGATCACTGGAGACGGACAGAAAGGAAGACGGGGAAAGGGAATAGAAGGAGACACAAACAAAAATAAGTCATTTTGATGAAAACTTTACAGCGTAGATGTTCCCAGTAAAGGGAGATGTGCAGCTTGTCTTAGCGAGACACTTGTGTTTTCCTTGTGCAAAGGAGGCAAAATGCAAGAGGCAGTGTGTTTACAGGATAAATGCTCCGAGGCGTTCCCCTGGTGGTTTTCCGAGGCAAACGGTAGATGACAGGGGAAAGAAACTGGCTCCGAACCACAGAGCCTTGTGTAGTGAGATACCGCTGCACACTGAGGCCTTTTCTGGCTGACACTAGAATAGAAATGCAGCATCTGAGATGCTCACTGCAGGCGTGGTAGAAATGCTGAGATGTGGAGACATTTACATTGAAGGATTATATTTGTGTTTGGGTGAATTTCCTTTGTTTGTGCAAATTGGAGCATTTCTTTGTGTATTTTGTGTTGACTAACTAGCTAAGCGCTCAAAACGATTCATGGAAGAGCCATGTTTGGAACAGAGAATATTTATTATGGCATTGTTTTCTCGTCTGTTGGTCTGTATTTCGCACAAGCCTTTTGCACTGTTTTATTCTAACTTATTTGATCTTCTCTGGTGAGCCAACACCTGAACTTACATGCAAAGTGATCCAGTGTAGTTCTCAGGGCAGAGGCAGGCGTATCTGTCTACTCCCTGCAGACAGGTTCCTCCATGGGCACACAGGTGGTTCTCACACATATCCACCTCCTCCTCACAGTCCACGCCTGCGTAGCCCGACTCACAGCTGCAGTTGTAGGTCAGCCCGTTGACGCTGCAGTTGCCGTGGATACAGGGACTGGAAGCGCATGTGTCGGTGAAGAAGCTGCAGCGCCTCCCGGCCCAGCCCGTGGCACAGCTGCAGTTGAAGATGTTGAAAAGGTCCTGACACTCCCCTTGGTTCAGGCAGGGGTTGGGCTCACACACCGGGGCCCCGCTGCAGCCGTGGAGGGGGGTCAGCAGGGAGGTCCGGGTGAACCGCTCCTCCTGTAGGCGTGGAAAGTTCACATCAGAGGAGCTGAAGTAAGGCAGGGCAATGCCCCCCAGCTCCACTGTGCCCAGGCACCCAGCCAGGGACCACCCAGCATCAGGGGCCAGGCCTCCTAAGAAGATGTCCACCCCCTGCCTGAGGAAGTTCAGGTTGCCTCCCTGCATCCTGGAAGTGCTGGCTTCCTCTATCTCTTCATCCAGAACCAGAGTCCAGCGGGAGCTCTGTGTCCATGGAGCCGCCATCAGCAGGTTGATGCTGTGCCACTCTCCATCGCTGACACTCGTCCTGCTGCTGAGGCTGACCGCGGTCACAGCCTGCTCTCCCTCCCCCTCCGTTCTGTTCTCTCCACTGCTGCTCTGAAGCTCCATGAAGATGAAACCACCCTGGATGGACAGTGTGAAGAAAGAGGAGCCCATCTCTGCGTGGAGAATAGCCGTGTTACGCTTCCGTGTGCGTAGGTTTAGGGAGAGGTTTGTTATATTGCGGGATATGTGGCCGTTTCCCCGGTAAACCAACACAGTGCTCTCATTCAGGAAAGTTGCATTGGAGTAGCCTAGGAGATTAGAGAAAGTATTAGTATACACATTTACACACTCCCTTGTTGCACCCCTAACACTTTGTCAGTTTGCTTTTTGTATTGGATTATTTACTGGCTTTATGCATGAAAGTACAACAAGGGCATCAGGGAAGAGCAATGATTTATAATCGAAATATTTCAAATACAACAATGTTATTAAAGAATGGCATGTTTGATGACAATACAATCTTGTTGGGCAGCTAAATGGGGTCACCAGGAGTAGATATCCTTGATACTGAACATGGAGGGGGCTGACAGGACAGACGGGAAACACCACCAATCATCACTAATCCCAGCATAAAAAGGATAAGCTGACCTAAAGCCAATCCTGCTTTACGGAGCACACACAGTACACTGTGTGGGCAGATTGTTGCCAGTATATATATAACTAAGCATGTTGAATAACTAGTTTACATAGTGGCCAATTACAGCAGAGCACAAATGATCAACTCCACAAACAAGGACAAGATTAGGTAACATATATAGAATGTCTGTAAGTCTAAGAGGCAAACAACTCACTCTCTGGCTTTAGGGGCTTTTAAGTAACAAAGGAAATAGGTCAAGGAGAAAAACTTGCCCAATAATAAGGATTAAAGTGAGCTCATTGTTTCAAGGGAGCTTTTTAGTAAATTCCACCTCATTATAAATGTGTTGGTCTGAACATGGCTTTATGACCTGCAATCTGCCTATCAAGCTTTGTGACTTTCACTTCTCTGCACTTGCATTACCACCCCTGCTTGTAACAGTTGAAATCTTTGACACCACTTACATTCATATCCCTGGTTAAGCATCTTGCACTCTGAGTCTGGGGGGCAAGGAGCCAGCTCGCACCACCTGACCTCCTCACAGCGCCGCCCTTCTGTCTTTGGAGGGCAGGTGCAGGTGAAATCATCCCACATGGAGTAGCACAGCCCACCGTTTAGACATGGCTTCATCTGAGGATGAGACATTGATAAGTTAATTGTATTTAGTGTCTGTTTCCCTTGCTGGAAATTTGATAATACTATATGTAAATGCTGTTATAAGAGTGAGAATATACTTTTAAGTCCAGTTTTGCATCCTCTACTTCACATTAAAAAAAGTCAATGAACGCTGATAATAAAAGGTAAACAAATATAACTAAAAAGAGGATTACAACTCTTATACTCACACTGCAGGCATTGTCCCCAGAGCATCCAGCAGTCACATTTGTTATGAACTTCAGAGGATAAGATCTCACTGAGGTGTCCAACCCAAAAATCTGCAGCCTCCTGTCGTTGATCCTCAGGTCCTGAATACAGCCTTTAAAATATCCACCAAACGCTGAAGTCGTCCAATTCTCAGAGCGACCTCCTACATACACAGTGTCTCCGGCTTGGACATTGATCGTCCTGACTGCTACATCTCCTTGTTTCTGATCTGCTACATACAGCGCCATACGATCCTCCTCCACCTCTACACTCACAAAATGGACTTCCCCATCATTGATAGCACTCTCCGCCTTCAGGCTCGCAAAGTTATTGAGTTGAACTGTGACCTTGCCGTCCTCCAGCCACAGGTGCAGATACTGGCTGCTGCTGTTGGCGAGCGCCAAGAGGAGTCCGCTGTTCCTCCGTGTGCGCAGGAAGAGGGAGATGGAGAGGCCATCACCCAGATCATCGGTGACAGTGAAAGATGCGTAACTTTGAGAGTCATCGGTTCCAAAGCGCGTCGTCACATGTTCTGCAAAAAAGGTGAATAAGATTAGACCGCAAAATGTTTCAGGTTAAAGACGAGAGAAAAGTGACTTGGTTGTTTGTAAGCTTTAGAAAAACACCTTCTTGACTTTTTCAGCTATGCCATAGTGTAAGGTTTTATATATTTAAGGATATATTTAACAGTTTGAAATAGGGAAAAGGCAAAGGTAGGAGGAGAGCTGGGGTGCATGGGGTGCATGTAACTTAATGTCACTATCCACCACAGTACAAAAAGAGCTTACACTCACAAATCAAACTTGTAACAGCATTTATTCGTTTTTGTGTTGTTTTTTCTGATCTGTGGAGAGCAAACTGTCCAAACCAAATATTCAAATGATACTGTAATTTCGATTGATTTAAATTCTTGCAGGATAAATGAACATGTAGGGACTAATATTGACGCAGTTCATGTCGAGGTTTCTAGAAGAACAGGTAACTAAAGAGGACATTTCAGCAGCCACCAGCCCTCATGTTCTATTTCCCATGTCAGCACTTTCCACTGTGGGATGATCACCTTATAAAGCAGCAAGGAGACTGGGAACACACAAAGTTAAAGCAGGGAGCACATGCAATGTGTGAAAGGTCATATGACCAGGGTTCATGCGTGTCGGTGCTAGTGTGCAGGTGAGCATTTGTTCACATGTGAGTAGCTGTGTGTGATCGGTAATCTGCTTGGATACACTCAAGAGGCTATACATGTCCTCGGTGAACTGTTCAATATTACCAGGGGGAACGTGATTGACTCATATAAACACTTTATCATTCTACTTGGTTATTTTAACGTGTTTTTAAATCAGAGTAATTAACCGTTTACTGTCTCCATGTTCTGTATATTTCCAAAATAGAATCCCTTATAACCTTAATCCAGTACGCCAGATAAGAGGATCTCTGCCTCCGTCCATTAGCCTACTGTGGCTTTTTATTGGCCTGTATCTCTTATTAATCACCAGTAACTAGATTGTATCTAATTAGCCTCTAGAGAAATGTGGTGAGAGTGACCTGCTATATTCCCCTCCAATCTCAAAGTTGAAAGAGATCTATATCTGCTTTTGGTGATTTTATAACTCAAATTTCAAAAAAGTGTTTTACTTAGCATTGCTGCTATTTGACTGTCCTGCTAAAGTCTATTAGTTGAATACTGAAAACATACCCTCCTCACAGTCCTGCCCCTCATAAGGCCTTGGACATCGGCACTGGTAGCTCTGCCACAGGTTGACACACTGTCCTCCATTTTGGCAAGGCACATCCAGGCAGCGGTCCCTGTGGCTGCAGCCGGGGGACACATTAACAGCAGAGTCGCTCAGCCATTCCCCGGGGACAATGAGCTGCCAGTCCACAAACACATCCCGCATGCATCCAATGAATGCTAGAAGTGGAGAGACCTCACCCGGGGCATTTGAGTCCTGAAGCACTCCTCCAATAAAAGTGTTCTGAGGAGGTGACACCAGCCTGGCCATGGTGCTTTGGACTGAGGCCACCTGGTGACATGACTGGCTCCCACAGCTCCCATTATCATCCAAGAGAGTCAAACTGAGCATCCAGCTCCCCAGCACTGCTTCCACAGTGTGCCACTCTCCATCTGTGACATTGTGTGGAAGCTCCAGGACCTGGCTTGGGCTCTCTGCTTCATCCCCAGCAGAGGCCTCCTTCCTGAGTGTGAGACGAAGCTGCCCCTCGTGCAGCTCCAGATTCAGCAGCAGCCCCCTGCTGTTACTCTGGAACAACAACGCTCTTGGTAGAGATGTCTTGAAGCTGAGGGTAATGTTGCAGGACACCACAGCATCTACCAGGGGACTCTGCAGCAGCAGATAGCCTCTGCGCTCAAAGGAGAAGGTGGTGGGGGTCCCACACACGGGTCCAGTGTAACCAGGTGAGCAGGAACAGGTATATCCATTAAACCCATCCAACAGGAAAGGAGAGCAGGAGCCTTGGTTCTCACATTTATGTCCCTCACAGCCTTCTATCTTCACATCACAGTTTACACCTCCATAGAGGACGCCATCATGACTCTGTTTTTGGCAGTGGCACATGTAACCTCCAACATGGCTCTCACAACTGCCCCTATTGTGGCAGGGACTGGGGTCACACTGGTCTATCACCTCCTGGCAGAGGGAACCTGTAAGCAAAAGAAAGCAGAAAAACTAATAAAACTCAAATCCCCTTAGACTGTGTTACTGTCGTTAAACAACTTACAGCTGCAGTGTTGGACTTTTCATGTTAATTCATTTCTGTTTCATTCTAGACCTTGACAAACAAGTTCACACAATGCTGATAAAGCCTATCGCTGCAAAGTGAAGTTGTGGTGTCTGTTGTCGGTGGCGACTGTCCCGCGCTGGTGCAAGCATGCCTGCATGTGAACTGGCTCACTGCACTTCCTCCGCCCCAAACGGTACTCTTAAACTTTTAATGTGAATCTTTTTAGAAGACCAGTAAGATCTATTGGTTATTCATCATAATGTTTCCATCTAAGGATTTTTGTTTTTGTTAGCTTAGAATAAGCCTTTTACATCTACATGGAGCAGGTCGTCTTCACTGCAATCCGCCATTTAAGTTGTTAATGTTACCTAAAGGACAATGTGTGGAAGCGGAGGGGTATTCAGCTGTTTTCCAATCTGCGACCTCACCATTAGATGCCTCTTAGTCTTGCTCCTTTTTATCCTTCCTCTTAATGCTGATTTTCTTTTTTATCTTAAGCTTCTAATCAAAAAACTTGCACCAAGTTTGACTCACAGGATGTTGAATTTGCCTGCATCCATCCCTTTTGCTCTCTGTGTTACCATTTTGCAAATGCACCAATGCAGTATCTTGTGCTTGGTGTCACACAAAAAATAACCAGTGTGGTTTTTCCACTGAAATGTGTGCTAAATTGAATCCTAAAACCCGCCAATGAGTAAGCATTTGGTTCCCTTGTCTTAAAGTCAATGGTTTTTGCCTGAAATGTGTGGTTAAGTAAGCTTAGAAGAGATTTTCACATTTTGTTCTACCTTATTAAGTGTGTCAGTAAATACCCCAATTGAGAACCTGGGACATTTGACGACCTTAAAAAAGATTGCTAACAAGTGGTTAAATTAGACTACTTCAAAAATGATCATGACAAACCCTAGTCATCCTTTAGCTTAGCGGTGTTGACATGAAGTCATGCGTCCTTGATGTCCTGTAGTATATTTCTAGCCAAACATTACATTCACGCTATAGAAATCATAAAAGCTTTTATTTATGATCTTGCTGAACAAAACATGTAATGTCTTGTTGGCCCGTAGATTATTTTCTGCAATAATCCAAAACCCAAATAAAATAATTCCATTGACTTTTTGTCAAGGGAATGAGTATAATGGTAATTTTCTGGGACGGCCTAGAAAAGGATGTCATTCTTGCAGTGTCATTATTCCTTGTTCAGTGGTGTTGTAGGAAATAGATCTCCCTGTTTACAACCATCAAGTCACACTCATCCACTTGTAATAGGCTATAATTGGGGCCTAAAACACAAGGTTAAATTTGCCCAAGCAGAAGTAAAATTGTCAGGTATTTAAACCAGTTTTCAATGCTTGTGGGGTGTATTACTCTTTACAACGGTTAATTGTCCATGTCTTGCGCATTTAATATTATCTGAAAGCTTTGCTAATTTTTGTGCATGTTTTTATCTCCAGAAATGTACGTGTGGTTATGCTATATGCTGTATACAGTATGCATCAGCATTTTACATTTGTGATGTAGAAAAGTGGTTGGATTGTAAAGCTAAAATGAATGCAATGAGTAGGCCCTTTGCCATATGATGCAACAACTATAGATTATATAGTACAACACAGGAAATTGTAGAACAATTAAGTTTCAGCATGTATTTGTTCAATATTGGTATAAGAACCCGCAAAAGAAAAAAAGAATGAAATACCTATTATGTAAAACCTTAACTAAATATCTATTAATAAAAAACGGTCCTTGTTATTACCTGTTCCAAGCAATACAATCCCCCAAATCCATGGTGCGGGTGTCCACATCATGCCGTCACCTTTTCCTCCAGGATAGCCCCAGACTCCTCTAACTGCAACATATTAGTTTGTGTGTGTACATGCCATCCCAGTGGAGGTCTGCTCCTTGTCTACCTCGCTACAACAATGTAGGGCTGAGTGGTTCTAGTCAGGAGACCAGCAAAGCCAGATCCTGGGGATTAGGCTAATGCTATTTGTCCACCTTACTGAATCAGTAACACAGTGACTGGCAGAACACAACTCTCAGCAGGCAGCAGCTCACCGTCTTATCTACATAGTAAAATCAAGTTTTGTGTAATCAGAAAACTGTAATTTTCTGCTTTGCAACTGAAAAGTATAATCTGATGTAACAACCTGCCATGGGAAAAATCTTCTCTTGACAACAATACACCATACAATATACTGAAAGTGTAAATGTGGTAAATGTAATATGGATTATTCACAATTATATGACCTGCAGACAAAATGTCATAAACCCAACTACTAATTTAGGTAATTTGTTATATGATAGTATCAGTTGTACCTCACCTTATCACTCAAACTTCAAACTACACACAACAGTATGGCAGCGAGACAAAAATACGTACATAAAACATACATAATATAACACGGAAAACTGTGTGACTATAACATCACAGATAAAATAAAATAAAATAGTTTTGTATTCTACCACTGGGGGGCGCTAACCAATCAGATTGGCAATAGCAAACCTGACTCTCACAATGCTTCCCTGGAATCCCCTGCTGGAAGAGACTGACCTTTAACAGCCTCACCTGTTAAGGTATGTGTGTCCATTTTAGATACATTTGCCAGTCTATTTATATATAGATTTATATTCTATATTTTTAATATGTATTTTGAAAAATAGCCATACATTCTTATTTTTGGATTTACCCTTTCAACTTGCTATTGCTTCCATTCAAAACTGTGTAAGTTTCCTGCTCAGACATCTTACTGTGCATATTAATAGACCTGTGAAAGACATAATGATAATGTAATTACCTGTAGTTCCTGGAGGACAGCTGCAGATGTAGCCCGCAGCATGCTGCTGGTCGTAGTGTTCGGGCAGCAGAGGCTCGCTGCCATACAGAGGCTGCCACGACCTCTCCATGCAGCGGCCTCCATGCATGCAGGGCTGGCTGCCACACTCGTTGATGTCAATGTCACACTGACGCCCCTCAAACCCTGGAATGTTAGACAGTTAGAAAGGGTTTGCGTTTAACAGCACATTTTAACACACATATTATACATACAAATAATATCACGTTGATAAGTAAATTACTCAGAACTTATGTTTGAATGAGGCTTCATGCAGCTGCTTAATTAATGAATCGTTTTACTTGGCGCCGCCGTGAGTTGCAGCCTGTTTAGCAGCTCTCCTTTGTTTCTACTTTTTCTTGTCTTTTCTCAATTTTGTTTCACTACTAATACTTTTTATTGGAGTTAATTGTAAATGTTGGGACACTGATTTCCAACTTGTATATATTATTGGTTTTTATCACACGTAGGCCTACATAGAAATATATTTAACAATCCGGACTCAAATATGTTTATATGTTCATTTAATAAATTTCTTATTTTAACAGTTACTTACCTGTATATAATTGTAATTGTATCTTTAATTGTATTAACCTTGAGTGAATCTGTGCTGTCCTGTTTTTCAATATCACCCTGTTGCTGATTAAACTCCTGAATTTCCCCACGGGGATTAATAAAGGTCTATTTTATCTTATCTTATTTTAATTATGGTCGGATTAATTTTTAAAGGGGACATAATGCTAATTTTCGGTTTCATAGTTATATCATGGGTTTCTACTAGCTTTAATGTAATGTTTACAATGTGGGACCTTTTAGCTACTTCTGTTCTTGCCAAATCATTCAACAGCAGATATTTCGACTCATTCTCTGCTCACAAATTCATTTTTCATCTGATCTGTTTTTGCCAGACCCATATCTCTTGATATTTAAGATACATACATTTTAAAACTTCAAAAGCTGTAACTCAGAAATACATTGTTTTCCCTAATATTTGATCCAGAGAAGTGCTTCATGTACCTGGCCAGCAGTCACAGCTGTAGTCACCCTGGTTGTCCTGGCAGGTGGCGCTGTTGAAGCAGGGGTCAGAGAGGCAGGCTGGGAGTGGGGTCTCACAGTGTCTGCCAGTGAAGGCTGGGTGAGAGCAGTCACAGCTGGAGCTAAAACATGCAAGGATTCACAAATCACATGAGGTAAATGAATAAGAGTATTTCCTCCATGCTTTGTTTGTAAGTCGAAACATATTAGGAAATCTGTACAGTACAAAACCATTTGTCTTTTAACACTTGGCAAGAGATACTATATTTGATTTCCAGCGACTAGAGATGTGCCACTTACTCGTTCACCCCATCTATACACAGCGCCCCATTTTGGCATGGCTGCTCTTGGCACTCGTCGATGTTGATTTCGCATTGGTGTCCTTGGAAACCGGGCAGGCAGGTGCAAGTGAAGCCACCAGCGTAGTCGTGGCAACTACCGCCATTGAGACATGGCTGTGATTGACACTCATCAACCTGGACCTCACAAATGGCCCCTGTGAACATCAAAGCAGGACAGATGTCAGAGGGCGAGTGGGCTTGCTGCATAGACTGAGGGCAGGGGGCAAAAATGGACAAAGCTTTCATGTGTACTGGCTGTGATCATGTGTGGATTGCTCCTTTTATTTCAAAGCGCGGCTTCTGCAGCAGCTCTAAAAACAGTATATTGTGCACAATACAAATGTATCTCTGCAATAAAGATATCCTATCATCTTTATGCTTAATGCTTTCAAGCTCCTTTCAGCAGACTGATCCAATGGGGTTTAACTTGTTCATCTATTCTTCATTGGGTAGATTTATTTTTAGATTTTAAAATGAAATCAAGACATCAGTGTAGGGAAGATTTCAAAGTAAACATTAACTACTCCGGATGACTATAAATAATCGTATTGAACTTCCACTTGGCCAGTTTTCTATGACAACAAGAATCTATAGCCATGCTAGCTGTGACCACATGGGTGACCTATACAACATTTCACACATTAAAAAACAATCCCACACATATCTTCTATCATAAAAGCTATGTGTTATGTTAGGATTTAAATTAGCTGGTCTCATTGTTGCTCCTGGGAGACCCAGAATGTATTTTTTTTCCCTCACCAGTGAACCCAGGAGAACACAGACAGGAGAACCGGCCCACTCGGTCCACGCAGGTAGCTCCGTTCCTGCAGGGCTGTGAGGCACACTCATTCACGTCGATCTGACAGTGTGCACCTTGAAACCCCGGCACACAGAAGCACGAGTAGTCGTCTCTGCGGATCCTGCATATCGCACTGTTCTGGCACGGGTTTGGTGAGCACTGGTCCACTGGTGAACGCGGCCTGTCAGGAGATGCACCTACAGTATAAAGAGATCAAATAAAAAAATATTGATATCACAGAATATAATTTCTTTAATCTTGATACTGCAGATTAACAGAATCTTGATTGCTATATTAGTTTGATCATTTCTGCAATAAAGCTCATTTATTTTCTGTTTAAATTAGATGAGAAACAATGTAGCAGCTGTCAGTACAAGGACTTTAAACTTAAGGGCCTCTCAAGGCGTTATGGCTGGCTGCCATGGTAACTTATTTAACTGTTTGGCTTCAGTGTTCAATCTGTTACCATGGCAATTGCATGAACAGAAGATCTGAGGCGACACTTTACGGTGTGCTTTAATCAGCAAGACATCAATGCCACGCTGACAGAGGTTTAGGTGTCAATTCATTGAACACATGCTGTTCATACTAATAAGAGGATCAACACTTGATCCTTCCCAGTAACAACAATGAAAAGCAATCATTGTATCTTTATAGATTAGATAATGTCGTAAATAGATATGTATATTGCCAAACCTTAATATGTCTAGAACTGTGTTAGGAAAGTCATATTTAGCTTGGAAGTTATGGGAGCAACAACTCACAAAGTGGAATGTGCGGTAGTATAAGGATAGTATTTTCTGTAATCTTGACAGCTAACTTGTCAAATCTTTAAAAAAACATTTTTGAGATAACTTGATTTCAATGGATTTCCAACATCATGATTTTATAAAGTTGTGATCGGATGACCACACTTCTTAAAACCTCTTATCTCTGATGATGCATTGCTTATATTTAATGTCTACATTGAGACTTGTACAGCTCTTACATGTACATATGCAAGAAAACTTCAAAGACAAATAGGTACCAAAAAGAATCTCAATATTGCCTTACTCCAGTCAGAACAACTGGCTCCAGAGGCAACAGTCATTATACATGGAACACGCATGAGGGGCCACAGGGGCATGATGCCACTACAAAGACACTTCAAATCAGTTTAACAAGTGTTGCCTCTATTAATAATCAGACTGTACCACATTTCTTAAAGAAAAAGTGTGTTTTGCATGAGGGGTGCAAGCATGATTCGTCATAATCATGAAAAATAAATGTAGCAACACTGATATGAGCAGAGATATTCTAATAAAATCCTCACAGATGATAATCACACACAGTAATCATGCCTCAAGAGCACAATCAGGCAGAGTGCAGACTATAAGAGAGCAATTACACTTTGTGCTCCATCTGCACCAACTCGGGCACCAATTTTTCTTCTGTCTTTCGTTAAGGTCAATCAATTCCCCAGTCAGTTGGCAGGGTTCTCCCCGAGCAGATTATAATACATGTCTAGATTTATAGGTATAGTCCGAGGTCCTGGGGTGGGATGCAGATCATGGGTTGTGTTTATGTTCTGACCATATGCCAAAATGATCTTTCATTACAACCAGGATCAGCCAAGTAAATTCAGAAGGCATGCTCCAGCAGTGCATACATTATGTTCTACAAAAACCCATGACTTAAAACCATGGTGAAAGAAATTGGCAATGACTATCTATGTATTATTTTAAAGGAAACCACAACAGGTGGTGTAGGATTTGCTCTTTACTGAATCCGCTGGTCTTTCAGTATTGCCCTGGGGCAGAGTTCAGAGGAGAGATAGGCCAAGATGGAACTCCAGCCAACCACACATCCCCTCCCACAGCATGTAAGGCTTTTTCATATGCTAATGAGTTCTACGGGGCTTTGTTTGGTCCTATCTGGAGGCCCTCAAATGGCACATGTGAGGCAGCTGACAGATGCATGTTTCTGTGTAGCTGTCTGTTTGTTTCAGAGGTGATAAGAAGACATGTTATTGTTGGATGTTTTGTAAAGCCGAAGACACATATAGTGCCATAGACCCATCACTTATCGACAATACCCACTAACCCCCCAATCCTCAAACACACCCTAGGGTCACTATGCTGCCCCCCATTGTTAGATTCCTTTATGTCCTTACAAAATGTAGACATCACTATGCAATGATGTAAACCCTCACAGTCTTAATTGATATTCCAAGCATGGACTGGTTAAAATACAAGCCAATTACTCGATTGAAATTAAAATCACAGTGCTGGTTTCAATCTCTACACCGTTAAAATGAAACTTTAGCAAGAAAGTTATAATATTTGACTTATATTTGAATTAGTGTTGTAACTTGCATGCATGAGAACATTGATAATTATAATATGCAACAACAATCTAGTTTTGCAGGTGTTGAAATGCCAACAAAAAAAAATGAAAAAAAAGCACTGATTATCAGTTTACTTGTATACAGCTACAACATCACATCACACGTTTTTATGGTAGCCTACATTAACTCAAGGAGATGAAACAATTACTCACCATCTATCACAAACAGTGAAGAGATTACAATTGTGCATGCAAGTAATTCCAAATTATGATAGCGAATTAAATCCATAATCGTGACAGGAAATCATCCTGATCGTTGTAGAATCCTTGTCATTCACAGAGCCCCTGCTTCTGCCTGCTGCCTGCGGCTCATCTGTTGTCATCTCCAGATCCACTTGATGCACACTTCTCTTCTTGATGGAGCACCATCAAGAGCCTCCATCACACGAGATAAGAAAAAGAAAAAGAGCACAGGTGGTCTTCAACAGGCTGCACTCCCCCTCCCCCGTGCAGAGGCGGAGTTTGGGAAAGTTTGAATTTGACAGATTAATAACTCATAAACCAGTCGTTGTTAAAACACAACCCAAGGCTATTAACAACTGTAAGGTAGACAAGGGGCTTGAAACTAATTTCCGTTCAAATAAGTCTATACACGACGTCTTCCGAGCTGGACCACTTACATTGGTGTCTATCTGCAGCCAGAGGAGAGAAGAGTGCGCAGGGACCGTCTACTACAAAGTGCTACATAGAAAAAACACACTACACAACATTCAATAACTTCCCTGACAGTTGAATGCTACCGTAACCACTTCACACGTATTGCAAAGGAATACGCTTTTCAAAATTATTCATGTTGGTGATTTAATTCGGTTTTCCATTAAAGAACGTGTTACAAAACAATGTTTTTCTCCTAAACATAAATTAAATATGAACGAGCTTCTGTGTCCCCCGGATAGCGGTGGCCGTTCCCATGGCAACGCGACCAGGAAGTTGAACCTCAGGGGAGAGAGTAGGACGATTTCTTCCCTTTTTTGGGAAATAATGCTACGTTTTCGTCTTCATGACTTTGTCAAAAACCTCTTTGTAACATCTCCACGGTGATTTCAGGATGTCTGCGTCCATGAGAGCCAGCTCAGCGCCGGGGTCATCGAGGCAGGTGCAGCCGCTGGACAGCACAGGTGACGTTAGCGATAAACAAACAAACATTAGCTTAAGCTAGGAATCATTACCTCATACTGACTCACATCACCTCACACATGCACTACGTACTAAGTATTCAAAACTTTTAGTAAAGTGTCCTACTGCACTGTAAAAATACTCACAAAAATAAACACCCACATTTTAAACTTTACAAAGGTAAAAGTAGGATGCAAATGAGGAAAATGTAGCCTACTTTAAGTATCAAAAGTAAATGTAGGCCTATTCATGTTAAAATGTACAATGATTTCTAGGAAAAGATACCTTATAATTGGTACATAGATGTGTCAATGTTCTGAGTTACATTCTACAACTGCAGTCAACAACAGCAAACACACTTTTGCATTGATGATTCAGTTCTCACTGCTCGCTATGTGTTTATTTGTTATTGCATTCCCTTTACCATCCCCTCACACCAAGGTCAGACTCTAGGTTATTCACCTACTGGTTTGTCTGAGTTGCTGTGAACTGAATTTTCAACTCCCAGCAGAGAGAAGGAAGACACAACCACCTCCCGTTGACAGCCACATCATCCCAGATGAGCTGCTGGTCAGCCTCACCTCCACGGTCTGCAGCAGGAGCACGCCGGGGCACACTGCGCACAATCGCCACTGCAAGGTATTCAACCCCGATTTATATCTAAGAGGGAGTTTTTTAATCTGGCAGTTCACATCTAAGATGACCTTGTATACAGGGCTGTGGAATCAGACGACCAGATGCAGTCTGGCATCACCCGCTGGGACGCAAGAAATACAAATTCTTTCTGGAACAGCCAACATCACTCACTGGAGCCGGCAGGTCAGCTACACGAAACCACACATATTAACTAACCACACTTACTAACCACAAACATTACGTTGGTTGTTGCAACTATATGAAGTCCCCCCAAATATCTAATTTTAAATAAATGTCATTGGTGTTTTGTCATCTAGTAAAAACATGTTAAGTGTTAACTGATTAGGTATTAATGAAAGCAACATATGTATATTTATTCTCGAGACTAACTTAGGACAGTGATAATACAAACTAACCTGGCTTTACATAACTGGACATAGCAAAGTTAATGTTATGTTATGTCTGAAGTTAGTTATTTTAAATGAGGTAAATAAGTGATCTATATAGAATCATGTCAATAGTAGGTGTCTCAAAAAGTCTCACATTTTGCCTGTGTGTAATTTTTATTTTTGTATTATATTCATACAGGGATATTTCCTTCCTGTGTGATGCTATGGTAGCCCATAGGAAGACAACACCCCTGCCACCCCTGACAGAGAGGAGTGCCAATGGAGACACACAGGTCAGTTACCTCAGCTGACCTACAGTATTTCTACTTTCTGTAATTTTTACACTTTTTGACAAACAAAAGGACCTGAGAATGTGACTTAATTTCCCTTTTCAATTTATCACCCCTAGTATAACATATATAGATTAATATAGTTTTACACAATTACAAGCAGTGCTATTTAACATAACAAAATCAAGTGATCAAATCAAAGTGATAAATACACAAAAAAAGCCCAAATTAACAACCGCAATACTTCCTTGTTACTCCATTCAGATACCATGCAGATTCAAATTACAGCATGTCCATACTGTGAGATAAGTGTAACAGTAGTTTAGATTTTAGTTTTAAAGTTTAGAGAGAACTTTACACATTTTGCATATTATGTAGCAGAATATCTCAAATTCTCTGATTTACAATAATAGTACTGATTTTAAATTCCCAATTATTACAATTCATTTATACACTTGTGGAATATGTTCTCAGTATACAGTTTTAGGTTACAATAATGGTCACTCTGTCTTTCAGAACTACTGTGTCTCAGAAAGTGTGATCCCAGAAGAATATCACATTGTGAAAAACAAAGGGCTTCGGAGCCTGGAGTTCTTTGAGGAGTGAGTCTCCTTTACGATGTCCATCCACTTCATTCATGTTCATTGTAAAATCCTCTTGTTATTATATTAATTAATATTTTCTTTCATCTCATCTTTGCTTCTCTCCCTCAGTGCGTTCACAGTACAGCTGCAGGATGATGAGCAGAAGCTGCGGGTCTTCCCTTCGCTGTGAGTTCCCTTTACAGATTAGCTTTAGTGAAGTAGTAATCACCACGCAATTTGAGGAGTAAGTTATGGTACAGCTTAATAGTAGGTAAGTTATAGTACTGCTTACCTTTAAGTAGGAATAGTACTGGCAAAAAACAAGATATGTGTGTGTGTGTTGGGTGTATCCAGGAGGCCCAGCGGCAGACTGGAAGTGGTCCAGCTGACGCGGATGATGGATGACATGCTGAAGAAGGCAGGAGTGGATCAGCAGAGTGAGGAGCTGACAGAGCTCTCACAGGTAGGCAGACGGACAAGCAGAGAGTACACAGGCTGCTGACACTAGTTCTGTGCATTTATGTTGTTGTGTTTTCATTTTGTTAAAATTTTTTATGGAAAATGAATGTACTGGAATACATATTGGAAACAGTGCAATGACATGTCTGCAGATGGAGGGTTTGCTGGAGCTGGTGCAGGTTGAGCAGAACATCTACAACATTGTTTTCCATGAACTGATAAGGCAGGTCAGCGTGGGCTGTGCGGAGAGAGGACAGCTGCTAGCAAAACTCAGGTAAGCATCCTATTAATAAAGATTAATAAATGGTAACTATATGAGCCTTAAAATGATACTATAGAAATATGGATGTAAATAAGGAATCAAAAGATGAAACACAAATCTGCAATCACAACTCAAAACGTATTTTGAGAAATTTCACATTTTCAGAAAATATTTTCTATGACCCTAGGAAGCCTTTTTCCCTGCAGCTCTTTTGTTTTTGTGTCCAGACAGCGCTACCAGACGCTGCTCCAGCGAATCCCCAGTCGTCTGAAGGCTCTGCACGCTGAGGCCGTGGCACAGCGGGCTCTGGACCGCCGGCTCACTGAAGAAATCCACCGCATCAAGAGATCCATCCAGCAGCTCAACGCGTACGTAGGCCTGCAGGGCCATGATGATTTAAATAACTCTGTGCTAGGAACAGTGATTATTTTACAAAATAAATAATAAAATGAAAATAATAGCACTCAAAACTATTTGTAAAAATAAGACATGTTTTAGGGCACATTTTTATGTTTATGGATGTGCAATTCCTTCACAGGGAACTGTCTAGAATCAGAGACCATGATCACTCCGTTTCCCAGCAGGCAGAGTGTGCTCACCAACAGCTGGCTGGAGCGCTTGAGCAGACTAATATCAACTCAGAGTTAGTCCCACTGAACTAGTGTTAATTCAGTCAAAGACACTTTTTCTTCACGTTGATTCATTCCAAAATTCTGGTTATTTTTCTCATAAAATATGTGATTATATTCACGCAACAGTAATTTGTGCGTTGTAAAAAAAAATGCAAAACACTACAGTAAATACAAATACTACAGAAGCATTACTCAATACTCATACATGTCTTAGATACCAGACCCTTTAAATGGTCCATGTGCCCTTCTCAGTGTGGTCCAGGGTTACCATGAGCTGTACGACCTGCAGAGGGGTCGCCTGGAGGCTCAGCTGCTCCAGATGACGGAGGAGAGGGACTGCTGGAGCCAGATCACATTCTGCCTGGCCCTCAAGGTGTGTGAGCCATGATCTAGTTTTTATTTTAATTGAACTCATGTACTTTTATGCTGATTAGAAAATAGGTTAACTGACTTTGTTTGCAGAATCACAAGCAATATAATCATTATTGGACTCTCATTTTATATTCCCATATGGCCCATTTGCTGCTCACTACAATGTATGGATGGTAAGGATTCATTTGTTCTGTGCTCTGCAGGTGATCAGTGTGAAGAAGCTGCAGCTGATCAGTCGGCTGCATATCATGGAGCAGAGCTGGTTTAAGACGGCAGAGCACTGCAGCCTCAACATTGCTTTCAAGGTAACAATGCACTTCCTATTTCTTAACACATGGTATATGGCTCATGGCAAAAACACCTAGTGGCCCTGATGACTCTTCAGAAATATCCCTGGTGTTTCAATTACACTCTGATTGTATTGGTGACCATCCCTCTGTAGGACACAGAGGACATGAATGCCATCATGAAGCTCAGTGACTACTGGAAAGAGCAGCTCACTGTGTTTATGTCCCAGCTGAAGAACACTGAGCATGCTCAGTGTGAACAGATCAGTGCCATCCAGCAAGGCATTGCTAAGTGTCTGGACTTCTGCTTCACAAATAACAAGTAAGGACAAGCAGAGATCATACCCCACCTGTTAAGAAATAAGGATTTTCTGGAAAACATTTATTGTTATTTTATCAGCAAAGCCACTGACAGCAATTATTGGAGGAGGAGATTGATATGCATTCTAATTTACTATTTTTTTCTCTTTCAAGGTTCCCTGACCTGCAATATGAAAAAGCTTCTTTGGAAAAGATTCATGCTGATGTGAAGCAGTGGGCAATTGTAAATTCACACTTACTTCCTCTGTCTGACATTTTTTATCATGTTCATTGATTTTAACTGATGTGTTAAACAATTGGCTTGGTATTCAAATAGTCTTTCGACCAGGAAAAGGTAGTGTATTTTTTGTAAAGGGTAAACAGTTGGTTGCCATTTTGGCTGTGTTGAAATTATGATCGTACAGTATTACAATGTAATATATATGTATTATTTTGTTGTCATAAAATACTCCTGTGTTTTCTGTTTCTCTGCAGCTGTTGTCTCTCCAGTGTGACTGCTACCAAGGTGAGAAGCTGCTCTGCTGCCAGCAGACACTGGGAGAGCTTGGCAGTGTGCAGGAAAGATGGCTGACTATGAGCCTTGAGCTGCTCAGAAGACACCTTTCTCCTGATGGGGAACCCAGTGAAGGCCAACAGGCCCTAAGAGAGCTTGACAGGGTCCTGTCAGAGCTCCTCAAACAGCTGGACAGTCGAGTCAGTGGAGAGAGTGGTGAGGGCTGAGAGTTAGACACATATCTTGAAAATATTAATTGAGATAGAAACTGGATTTTTTTAGGCTAAGAGACAGGTAAGTATAGACTGCTTTAGTTTTTGCTTGTCTACATTTGAAATATCTGTACTGCTGACAGCTGCATATTCAGGACCTTGGGAAGTGTCACAATGTGTGCTCTGAACAGCAATAGTCACGGATACTTTATTCCATCCGTCTCTTTTTTTGTAATGTATTAATGAGTCTTATTGTGGTATAGTCCTTTTAGAAATGGACTCAATGTTTGGAAACTGATTACAGCAACACTGTTTCAGGTATCCATGGACAGATGATGTCACTGCTCGGGTTTATGGAGTCCCGGATTTCCAAACTCGGTGTCCTGATTGGCCGGTCAGAAATGATGTCCGCCGCTGATTGGCAGAAGCTGGAAAGTTCACTGGGAAGTTGGCAGAGTTTGACCAAAAAAATATTTCAAAACGTCCTCAGTATACAGACAGAGAACGAAAAGGACAAAAACGAGCCGGACATATAGTAAGTTTGGTCCAAACTATGGATTTCATTAAGAGGCAGATGCATTTTTTTTTTTACCATTTTATAGAAAGGTTTGTTAAGCTAAATGCAATGTTTGTTAAGCTAAATGCAATGTAATGTAATGACTATCATAAAACTATAGTTTGTTCTTGTAGCACAAGAAACTTTTGGAATCAAATGTCTTTAAACAAAACAGCAACAAATGTGTGCAAATCTTATTTGCTCACATACTGGTCTGATAACACCCTAACAATATCATGAGTTCCTCAGACAATCTTAACGCATAACTTTTGTTGCTTGTGATACAATGGATTGGAATTTTAAAGAGCAGATAGAAAGAAATTCAAACATTTTGGATATGAAGTTCTGATATTTGCTTTTCTTCTGTGTGTGTGTGTGTGTGTGTGTGTGTGTGTGTGTGTGTGTGTGTGTGTGTGTGTGTGTGTGTGTGTGTGTGTGTGTGTGTGTGTGTGTGTGTGTGTGTGTGTGGTGTGTGTGTGTGTGTGTGTGTGTGTGTGTGTGTGTGTGTGTGTGTGTGTGTGTGTGTGTGTGTGTGTGTGTGTGTGTGTGTGTGTGTGTGTGTGTGTGTCTGTGTCTGTGTCCTATGTTTGTTTCTTTCAAACAGTACAGAGACAGAACATGTTTTAGACAAAGTAAAGGAGTTCATAATCAGCGTTTCCAACTTCGCTGATGGTGAGAACCACAGAATCAGTGAAGAGGTCAGTGTAAACCACATTTTGTCAACATTATCAATATCACATTCATGCATTTCCATCAGCTCCATGAATATGATACTCTCATATTAAACACGCAAATATCCAAATCAACAAAAGCTTAAAATGTAGTTTCTCAGCTACTCATTTAGATGACCAAAAGTACTAGATAGACTACATTAAGAGGTATGTCATGAATTAGTTTGTTTGCTGTATGATACAAGGTGCTTCTCTTGAGTTTTAGTGTTTCCCCTCCCAACAGGTTCATTCTATTCACATGGCTCAGACCCGCTGGATGTTGGATTTCATGCTCCTCATGGTACCTAACCACAGCGAGGACCACAGCCAAGAACAGGAACATCATTACATTACAACCATCTCACTACAGACACTGGTAGAGGATGCCAAGACGCTGACTGAGAAACTAGACGTTTCTTCTGCATATATCAGCAGGTACAATAAGTATTAACAATAAGTGCTCAGTATTAATGTAAACTTTACCTTCTTGCACAAGTGTTAAACAGAATATTACTTCAGAGAAGAGTTACCTAAAGGTTCAACGCTATAAAGCTATTCAAAGTACTATTAAAGTTGGATATTCTCCAGGATTTCTCATTAGGAAATCTTTTTTTTGTACCCTAGCTCCTGCAAGCTGATTCTTGAGGAACATACTCTGCAGAACCCACTTAGAGTTGACGGTGACAATGAGATGAGCGAGTGCAGAAAGCTACAGGTAAAAAAAGTAATGTTTCAGAATTAAATAAATGGCAAAGAAAAGATGGCAATATGATAACTTTGTGTTTTTATATTTCACAATTAGTTACTGCCTCAGGGTGACAAATGACAGAAATCAAGAATGCAACCTTTTTTCCGTTAAAGACTGAAGAGCAGCTATTTTTCACAAATGTTGTGTTCAAACATTATAAAACTCCAGAAGAGGGAGCCATACTGAGCAAATGTACATCTGTAATGTGTGTTGTCGCGTCTGCCTCAGAGGGAGTGCACTGATTGGGTGGAGACCTGCAGAACCCTGCTCTCAAGATTGACAGGCGGTCCTGTGGAGCTTCCGGCTGACCCCGCCTCCAGCAGCAATGTCCCGCTCTCTCCAGCTGACAGCACCGAGAGTCTGGTGAGGAGTCAGTTAAATACAACCCACAGGAATAGACCTACATTGTTGTGATGAATTATTGAAAATTAATGTGGCAGTTTTTGATTGTTCTAGAGTAGGTCATCTTTTTATTGTTGGAGAAATAACTTGAAAGCACGGTGTCAGGTGACTGACAATAATTCTGATACTACAGTGAAGTAGGTGCAGAGGAAAGTTTCTATTGATCAACTATCAGATTTGACTGGATTCAAGTTCTGGTATTGATATCAGCTACCCAATTAAATTGTGTTACTTACACACAAAGTTTGAGATCAGGACATTTTTAGAGAAGTGTAATGATTGAGAGAGAAATTAAAGTGTGTGTGTGTGTGTGTGTGTGTGTGTGTGTGTGTGTGTGTGGTGTGTGTGTGTGTGTGTGTGTGTGTGTGTGTGTGTGTGTGTGTGTGTGTGTGTGTGTGTGTGTGTGTGTGTGTGTGTGTGTGTGTGTGTGTGTGTGTGTGTGTGTGTGTGTGTGTGTGTGTGTGTGTGTGTGTGTGTGTGTGTGTGTGTGTGTGTGTGTGTGTGTGTGTGTGTGTGTGTGTGTGTGTGTGGTGTGTGTGTGTGTGTGTGTGTGTGTGTGTGTGTGTGTGTGTGTGTGTGTGTGTGTGTGTGTGTATATAGGTGAACCAAGATGTTTCAGCAGAGGCTACAGCAGAGGTCGAAGATGAAACTGAGGTAGAACCCAGACTGGTGAGTCACATTAACAGCTGTTGAAATTGTGTGGAATAACTATTCACCACTGGCAGTCATTTATCATTAGATTTTTCCAGACCAACACTTTATTTTCTATTTATTGTGTACCATGTATTGTGATTTCTTATTATGATAATGTGAAGCATATAAGGTTACAAAATGATGATGTGTCATGTTGATAATGATGGCAGTGAGGGTATTCTTGTGTCTCCGTAGTGCACTGCTGAAGGACAGGATGAACAACAAGAGGTTTGTCAGGTGTTCATATAGTTTCCATAAAGAGTATTAAGATGGCTAGACTGCACATTAGTGACATTTTAAAGAAAAAAATGTGATTTAGAGAAAGAAGATCCAGGGTTTGTATGGAACAGGGAAATTATAAATGTATGGTGCATTTTGAGTATTTTAAGTGGATGTTTTGTTGAAGAAAGAACAGTCTAAAACAATTGAATAAACTCTCGATGAATGTATGAATTTGTATTAATGTGCCTCATTGAAGAAATACAACTTCACATTTATTGTACAGTTGTATTGGACCTACTTGTTAGAAATGAGCAATGTTGTTGTTGTCCTGCAGGGGGAGCTAACGGTGTGTGAGAGCCCAGTGGTGAAACTGATAAACTATGATGGAAACATTACACAAAGAAAGCTGGGAGAGAGCAGTGTCCAGCTGAATGGGGTCAGTGCATTTAATCACACAGTATTCAATGTTAGTGCAATGCCTTTTTCATTACAGAAGTGAACAACCTACGTTTGTGTCTCTCTGACATCCGTCTGTCTGTCTCTGTCTGTCAGACTGAGTTGGTTGTGTCTCCAACAACAGATGAATCCAAGAAAGCTTTTAGTGATCTGACCACAGTGGGATTACTGCAGCAGGAAATACAGTAAGTTAACTTTCTTATAGTTGAATCGAACACATGTATTTGAGGGGAAATGTGTTTATTTCTATTTTTATGATATCCCACATAGTCAATGTTTTCTTCATGACTGCCCCAAAAAAGGGACAATGACTATATCAATAAATATACAATTTGTCCACGTTTGTTTTAAACACTCGCTGACTTTTGAGTCATACGGAATTTAATGTTTCTTTATTGTTTAAAAGGAAAAACTATACCATTAGAATGAGCAGCATTTGCCAACATGGCTTAACAAACATGCTTTTGTATTGCCTCTCATAAAGAGTCAAAAGAGATTTTGCAGACTTGGAGTTAATTAGACAAAAGCCAATCGTAAGGACAACAAGGGAATAAATATATCCGATTTGCTGTTTAGTTCTGAAATATTTAAGCATTGTGGAAACAAGTTTATTCACCTAGGTTTCAGTGGTTGTTCAGAAATAGAAAGGACCTCTATTGACTTGTGAATGTCTGCAAAACAACCAGGTTATGTTTCTCTCCATGTGTTTGTAAGGGATTCAGAGCTGAGGGTCCAGAGTGCAGAGCAGCGAGCCCTGAAGGCTGAGGAAGCCCTGCAGGCAGCGCTGGAGAAGACTAAGCACCTGGAGAGACAACTGCAGGGCCGGCCCAGTCTGGAGCCAACAAGTACAGAAGGTACCGACTAAACAAAAACATTTATCTTGTAATTGGACATTCTGTAAATCAAAATGAAAGATTTTCTGTCTGAGATTTTGTAATACAGCGTTTAATCTCAAAAGGTGGTAACGGTCTTTGATTGTGTTGCAGAGAAAAAGAAAACACCACCACCTACTCCAAAACCAGTAAAAACCCCAGCTCCTCCAAAGGAAACTGCAGTTGAAGCCAAACCATCAAGCAGCTCCAAAAATACCAAGAAACGGTGATTTGAATAAGATCAGGACATGTCACAACGTTATATGTATGTCCAGTAAATGTCTAGTGAACTATTTAAAAAAATCACTTAAAGAGTTGTACGTTTCTTTGTTTATTACAAGAGTTAACACTCCATCAAAATCACATCCATGTAAACCAGTAAAGGAAAGCCACAGAGGGTATTATGACTTTTGGTGCATATTAACAGCACATTTACTGTCTCACAAGTTTACAAATTATTGTAGTACATACAAGAAAAGCTAAGATATTTCAAGTATCAGGAGATTGTCCTATATTCAGACTGCTTGCTGTTGTATGATAATTAATATCGTCATATTACCATTTATCTAATGGTTTGCTGTGGTTGTGTTAAATCTTGTGTTATGTCTTTGACACCAACTAAGGGCAAAATAGTTTTTGTTTTCTTAAAAAGAATAAAGTGTCTGCAGACATACAATCTAAAAAAGTAATACTTTTCTGTGGCTTTTATTATAAATATGTGGAAATTGTGAAATTAATAAACAAATCCAGTTCACACTAGATGCTATCACACCCTTCAGCACTCACGCTCACCAGTGTAAACCAATCAAATATTTTTAAATTGTACTTAAACAAACAATGATTTGTTGTAAAGGTTACCTTCTTTAAAATAATGAAGAATACCTCTGGAAACTCATCCATGAGGTAAGAATTATTGGCTCACATTGCGATCAATATTTCAACATTAATAGCTTTTATGGCAAAACAATCGTTCACATCATTGGCGAGTCTGTATCTGTCGTCCCACCCTCTCCTTCTACAGCTGGGGGAGGAGGTGGGGGTAGGGATGAGAGGTCAGGGGTCACGCCGAGGAGATCGGGGGGGATTGGAAGGACCAGGGCTGGTTGGAGCAGACGGAGGGAAGCCCTGAACCCCTCCCAGGCATCTCTCTCCCCTTCTGCTGCTTTCACCTGGTGGAGGGAAGTATACTGCTGTTGGAAACATGCTAGCTTTACGAATGCACAAATGGTCTCTCTGGTCGAGGTAAACATCAGTTGGAAGGCTAAACCAAGGCCAAGCTCTGGGCTGAAAAAACATTACAAGATGATTTAAGATGAAAACTGAAACCATGTTGCATTGAATGTGTTGCAAGGTATTGATCAGAAAGAATTAGAAAGGTATTATGATTCTGATTCTGGACAGAGATAATAAGTATTTTATACTACCATTAGGTAACTTTGATAATTTGTTTTTTGTGGGAACCATACAACCCATTAACATTAAAAAAAAATTGTAATATAAAACAATAAACATACAACTTAAAAAAGCTGGCATACAGTGGTTACTCACTCTGACCTGGTGTTGTCTCTTGGCCTCGGCAGCCAGACTCTGCTGTAACTCCACAGGAAAACTGAGCTCGTCTCTGACAGAAAATCAAACACAAGCCTGGTCAGCAGGAAAATCACAGTACACCACAAATCACTACATTCATCCATCCACCAGGAAAAATCAAAGCTTTCAGAGGAACAAGACTTTGCACACAATACTTTATGCTATTTTTGACAGTTGATAACCTTTCTGTTTTAATAATAATATATTTTATTTATCAATCGCTTTATCAAGTGCTCAAAGACACCTATCTTTTGGACTGACAGGTCATCATCCTATTTTCATATATTCAAGTGTTCAACATAAATGGTCACCCAGTGTAGGAGGCGCAGAAAAACCTCACTCTACCCCCACAGTCAAATGTAGACCAACTGTCATTGCTTCCACATGAAGTAATGTGCTTTGTGATTTTTTTTCCTTTCTTCCAGTGGAATTCCCCAGCTGAGACAGATCCAGCCGAGGAAGGTTAATTAGAAATACATGATATTTTGTATCTTCAGTCTTACATGTCTGCTCTCTCCACCCTGATGCCCCAGCGGCAAGCAACAGAGTCAACCATTGCCTGTATCTGCTGTCCGATCCTCCTCCTGTGCAGCAGGATGTGGCTGAACGTGTGTTGGGCGAGGATGTCTCTGACCATGGCCTGGACCAGAGTCTGCAGCACTGTGGTCAGACTGGACAGGGCCGTGCTACACAGAGCCACGTTCTCTATCTGGTAATAACACACTGCGCTCAGCTCGGGCCTCACCAAGTCCTTCGTCACCACCTGGGTAAAGACATACGAGAATTAAGTAGCCTAATCCAATTAAAGCCTTGTCACTGTCTGTTTAATTAGTTTAGCAGGGGGCCGCTTCCTTTACTCATCATCCTAAAAGGTTAAGAAACACTGTGAGAAAGATAAAACTTCTGGGAAGACGCATTAGAGAAAGTTACTGGCTGATAAAATGTCCAGCCATATAAAATACGTTAAATCTCTTTGTGGACTTTGAAAAATGTACTGTATGCTCAGGGAAAGCAACATTAATATACAAAACACATAATTAATTACCATATTTAATTCATTTTCCTTTATTTAAAAATGTTGTGCTTAATGTGAATGTCAGTTTTTCAGTGTTGAACCCTGGAACACTCGCAAATTATATAATAATAATATGAATACAATGTAATGCAATTATTAATAAAATGGGGTGTGTGTGTGTGTCTACAGAAGGTCCAGTTGTGACAGACACGGTTCGCCACTGCAGTTTTGGTTTGTTTGTGGTTATTTACCGTGTGAGGAGGAACCTTGAGCATTTGTAGTCGGATATCAACTTTGTGACACACATCAAGGAGTGGGAGGTAGAAAAGAAGGCCTGAAAATAGAAGTAAGATGGGTTTCATCTCAGGACAGATTTATATTTTAAATATATATATATTGAATAATATAATTCATTTTATTATGACTTTGACAAAAACTTTAGAACTGACTGTATGGGGTCAAAGCTTTACATTATTTGACTTTATGATCACTAGCCATCCAAAACGCACAGTAATTAAATCCACAGAAATATCAGGCAACTGTTTTGCATTAAACACTCAGTAGTTGGTGAGAACCTGGTCCTCTGGGTCTTCCTCGCAGGAGGTGACCCAGTCTGAAGATCACAGCTCTCTCATGCTCCCTCACTACCTGTCAATCAAAATGACAGACATGAGTCAGTCCATGTGAAGGGGATACAGTCATGGCTGCAGTGTTCTGCTCAAATACCACAGCTGTTAGTGGTCCAAGTGTCAATAAGGCCAGCTTTTATGCAAGGCTTTTGTACAATAACATACAGTCAGAATGTGACAGTACATAGATACATTGTTTTTGCGTGAGTAGTAAACACATTGGATTAGAAATAAGAAATATATATGACGTGAAGGTGCTGACTTCCGCAATTCCCGATATTAACTAATTTGTCCAAATATTTTACTTCCTGTCAAAGTGAAAAAGGTTAAAACAACATTAATCCTCAGACTAAACTTTAACGATAACATTATCACACTTTAATTTCTCCATCACAAACTGCATCTGCCCAGTTGTTAATCCTTGAATATTTTTTATGTAGATTATTATGAGGTGTTAGTTTTTTTTGTAGGTCTGTGGTGTGGTGTAGTTCCTACTTTGACACAGAACCAAATGGAAATGGGGAGGACAAGCAGAACCAGAGCAAAGACGAAGACCATCAGCATCCACTCAAACACTCCCAGGTTTTTGCGCTTCAGACCTGCAAAGATCCACACTACTTATTATGGAGCAATTCCAACCAGATACTCAGATTAAACATATTTAAGAGTCATTTTCCAATTTTTTGAGTCTGATTTGTCTAATAAATGCTGGAATAGAAGTGGAATTAACTAATTGAATTTATTTATATCATTACTATCTTAAATATCTCCAGAACAACAAGCTGGGAAAAACTTTTCTTCATGCTTTGACTTACCGTCCTCCTGCTCTGCTGCCTCCAGGAGCCCCAGGTTGTCCTCTTTGACCTCCTCCTCTCTCACGCTGTCTATGTCCACCACAGTGGAACTCACCTTCACTTCTGTCTCCTGCTCCACCTTCACCTCATTGGTCTCTGTCTGTTTCTCCTTTTTCTGTCTCTCTTTTCTCACCGAAGACGCCTCCGGGACCCGTCCTGCCTTCGATGGCCTTTGTCTGTGACTTCTGGGAGGCACAAAGGCTCCGCTGTCCCTCTCCGTCCTGGGTGTCATTCTAGATCTCGGTGGGAGACCGGGATGGACATGATCAGAAGACTTATCCATACTGGCTGTGCAGTTAAAAGCATATGAGTGATGTCTGTTGGGGTGCTTCAGCTATATGGGTTAGTGGACGGTTTCCTTTTGTAGAGAAAGCAGAAAGCAAGGAGAAATGTTTTGATTTGTTCTGCTGTGAGTTCTTCCTCAGACTTAAGGTCTGTGAGATGAGTCAGTGCGGCTGCCGTCCACTGTCAGAATACATGTGAGATAAATTAGGCTTGACTGTTTGAATGTGGGAGTAGCACAGCAGTGGGAGTGCCACTTACCAACCTCTCTATTGTGGTGATAAGTTGTACCCTGTACCTTAGCCAATACAATTTAAATCGAAAGAAAACAAAACACTTCTGTATGTAGCACTTAGAAAGGTTTGGCTTATTTGAATCCAATGCAGAAGCACTAAGAATGGCTAGGCCTATTGAAAGCTGAAGTACTTGAAAGATTCTTGCTATTTTAAGTTTGTGTCATCATGATTGCTCTTATTATAAGTTGTTTTGGATAAAAATGCAATGGAATGTAAACAGGATTTTTAAGTACACATCATCCATTGAACAACCAGAAATTATCTTGCACGCTTTCCCAGACTGAGAATGGCATTATCATGCATTAAGCAAATCAATATTCCAGATGTGTTTTTATAGTTATTATTTAAAGCAAAGCTGTCACAACTTGGGAGCCCTTGATTCTGTCAGAGAAATATAAAAATCACCCTCTTGCATCCACTATAAATATGCATACTGATTGTACTAGAACTCCTATACTTCTAAATCTCTGTGTTGTGCATCTTCCCTTGTAAAGCCAGTGTCAGAGATTACTGTAGGACAAAGTGTGTTAGTGGAGCACAGGGAGTCACGATGGGTCTACATTGGAATGTGCACACTCAAGGTCTCCTTTTTCCAAAGAGCTGATGAAGTTTTTTTCTCTGTTTTTACAGAAAAAGACACCAAGTATCCTCCCTGATAGATTCTTAATTAAACTGAAAATTAGACATGTGGCCCATATGTTCTTCTATGATGAAAGTAGTACATCGTATTGGTGCAAACTCAGGCAATGGGGCCAGTACCTTGGGCCTCTGATCATATAATTTAAATAGGCATATACATACACTTCAACGTATTCATCTGTATATCCTTGAGTCAAAACCAATTCTGTTATTAAAGAGAAATAAAAAAACAGCCCCTGTTTTGCAGTTTGACATGCTATTTACTGACCACTTTTTGCATCATTATCTCAAATTTACACATTTAAAGTAACTAAGAAGCTATAACATATCGGAAAAAGCACAGTAGAAGTTCAAAGCAGCAAATAAAAAACGTAAACACGAGAACAGTGGTTCTCAAACCTTTTCTGTCAGGCCCCCCAATTGGAGAAAAAAAAAAGTCGGGCCCCCCCAACACAAGTCAGGCTCAGTGGCGGCACCAGAGATTTATTTTGGGGATGCTGTGGGGTAGCTTGATAGAAGGTGCTCAAACATTTAGGGTTTCCCATTAATGTACCGGTCGCTAGTGGAATTTTCTACTGCAACGATCCCCACGCATATACACAATGTACCCGTGACTGTTACAATGAAGGCTCGATAATCAGCTCACGGTATATAGGTGTAAGCAGGGGTAAAGTGCTATTTTATAGGTGGTGTGTGGACCTCAAATAGGGGGGTCCAGGGACAAGCTCCCCCGGAAAGATTTATTTTTAAATATTGAAGTTAAATGCATCAATCTGGTGCACTTTGAGAGCAAAATGAAGAGATCAATGAATACCTCTCTCAACACCCATATGAAACAGAACTGTAAACAGATTTACTTTTTCTTTATGGATATTTTACAAATCACCCTTTTAAACTTTATTATTTTGTTACTGTCATATAGTATTTCATACCTGTTTTTCATTTATTCTCTTATTTTTTGATAACTATAATGATCATATAAACGTGTGCCTCGGAAATAATTGTTTACATTAATGGTGACCAAAACGTTTGAGACCCACTGAGATAACACTGAGAGAGTCCTTTAGCTCAGTGGTTCTCAAAGTGGGGTCCGCGACCCCCCGGGGGTCCGTGGCACTCTGCCAGGGGGTCCGTTAAAAGTTTTCAGATTCATTAGATTTTTTTTTAAATTTTTTTTGTGACGCAACACTTTTGGAGAGAGAGGACGCTGGCGTTGTCTGTTCGCCGCTTCTCTGTCCGAAAATGTATCTGCCGAGTTTTGGACCAACGTTTCTACCTCAGTTTCCATACGTTCAGTGGCTTGCACACGCTGTTCTGGACACTTTTGTAACACCCGATCGCAACTTTTTACTGATGCTCCGCTTCCGACCTGTCCACCCTGCTAATGTTGCTCCTGCTTCAGGGCTAACGCTATCGCTAACGTTAGTGGCTCCATCTGACGACAAGCCCGATTCTCCGTCTCATTTTCCCGTTTTGAGTCCCGATCCTGCTTCACTGTATCACCTGCTTAGCTGCTGTTTGATTTTGTTCTGCCACAAAAGACACAACAACCGTCCTATCCACCCAACCAGTCTGACGGCGATCAGAAGCTAGCCTAGTTCTACCTGCTCAGGCTAGCCTGCTCTGGTCACCACCGGTGCTCCTCTGCGGCAAACTTCTTTAACTTCCACCATCTCTCCTCAGTGCTGTCCGTCCTTGAGTCGCTTCCTGGACAGGCTGCCTGCTGTCCTGGTTCATCTGTACTCTTGGCTGATAGCGCATTCTCCCGGCCGATCCGCGACCACAGCTAACGCTGTGCTAACGTTAGCATCATACCATCGTGATGCTTCGTTTCTCCGCCTCGCAACTTTTTAGGATCAACCAGAGCCATATAATAGAAGAGTTATGACATCTCCGTTCACTCCAATGGACCACTTTTTTACAGCAATGGCGGATCGTGGAGCCTTTCAATCGTTCCCCGGAAGTTAGCGCCAAGGCTAGCAGAGCTGTGGAGTTGCAGCATAATAGACCGTTCGTGACGGACTTTTAAAGGTAAGAAGAAGTTTAAAGATTTATATTGCGGATATTATCAGTACATCTGATTCAATTGAACATGTGTATTAAAGGATGTCAGTGGATTATCCCTAAATTAGTAGATTTAGGGAACGTTTACAGATAACAGATCAAGCTAGGATACCGAAGCAAGTTAGCAACACACGTTGAACAGCCTTTTAATAGTAAATTCCGTTCTCTTAATGTCTATTTGGTCCAACGTTGTTGAATTAGAGAAGAGGGGCTTCTAAACGGGATTGTATGCGGGGGTGGAGGGAGTTAAATATTAGATAAATATAACTTTGGTGCGTGTAAGAGTGAGTGTTTTTAGCAGAGCCATATTGTGTCCTTGTGATTATGTTGATTATTACCTGTGTGTATAATGTTGCAGCTCAGCTGATTTTGGATTGATGGCAAAGGGAGAGGAACTTAAGTAAGAGTGAACACACAAGGTAAGTTTAATACTACTGTTTTATATAAGTAAGCATACTAAACATGTATTATATCACTGTATTATATAAGTAATCTTGTTAGTAACCTACTGTATGGCAGGTGGAGGGGCAGTGATGTTACAGGTGGAGGAGCAAAACTGCAAGACTGCAAACTCACAAGACAGAGAAATCAAAGTTTGTTCTCCAGAGAAGAGGTTGATTTCACTTCAATTTTTTCATAGATACTAAAGATGTGGAAATGGCACAAAAAAAACTTGAGAGCTGTAACCAAGACAACTGTAACAACATGAGTAGACAGCCACCAAGGTTTTTCAAGTCCCTCTCTTACTCCATTTTGCCAACCCAAACTTCCAGGTACATGACGGGACACCTTGCTTGTTTTTGTTGTTTGCGCTCCTCTGGCAGGTGGAGGACAGTGATCCCTTCACTTCTTCCCTCAATCTTTGAGACTAATGTAAGTAGAAGACATGGCACTGTAAATGTTCGAACATTTAAAATATTATACCACTTAAAAATAAGAAATATTACTTTTGTTACTAAGAGTTCATACTTATTATACCTGTGTCACCGTTCACACTATCGCTGTGATCATGAGCTATGGGCATTGTAGATACAGGTCCCGGGGTGAATCGTGGTGCAGGGGCCCTTCTCTTTTTGACCACAGGGCGATGCACGAAGATGGTGGGTATAGCCTCTGCTCTCAGCCTAGTCTTGCCCTTTTTTGTCTTGACAAACTGGTCTGCATCAAAATGTGCCTGCGGAGTGACTTGAGGTTACTTCACACACAGAACAACTCAGTTTTGTCTGCCCACATACATATTCCATAGTGGTTGAATACACAGTATTAGGAAACACTTTATACTTACTGGACATGTTATACTCATTACATACTGTATATAAAATATGACCAAGAATGTGAGACAACTTTATAGAAATTCATATCACATCTGTTACTGATGCCATTTGTCATACTTTGTTAAACTCACAAATAATAAAGTTCCATAACTTCAGTTGGGAACAAAGACCACACCTTATCTCCCCAAGGCAATTTCCCATCCAATAAGTGTGCTATATAGGTGTGTATAACCCTTTCTCCTGTCTGTTTATCCCTCTTTCAGCACAAGAACCAGAGGGGGATTCAATGGAGCCTGAATACCTGCACTGAGACCCTCACCCTGCACCCTGAGTCTCAACTCTCAGTGTTTTTCAAGCCTTTCCTTGTTTTTTGTATTAAACAAAACATTAAGCTTTCCCAATGGTATGGTTTTCGTTTTGTGAAAAAGTGCAAATGCAGTGTTTGTATATAAATCACATATTTTTTTGCTGTTGGTCGTGAAATTGCTCCTGCTTCCTCCGCTCTGTGTCAGTGGGGAAGCCGTACATTTGTACTCCTTTCTCTGAGCGATTTGAGCATCCCCAGGCAGCACAGCAAACCAGGACAACACGGAGGAAAAGGCACAGACAAACTGCATGATATGCTATTCAATGTTTATTGAATTCTATGTATTTGCAATGGATGTTCCTAAAACAACACATTTAACATCATCATCATCATCATGCTGCTGCTGCTAGTCCTTTGATAGTCACCTGTCGGTCTCCTGTCCTTTCTGAAAGCCATAAAGATGACATTAGTCATTTAGATAACTTGTGTCCTCAATTACCATGGTTACTGAAACTACCATGAATTTAAGAAAATGGTAGACATTAATCTAATCTGAATTTTAAAGCATTACTTTAGATCCCCTCCCTCTAAATATATCAATAAACATTAGAAAGTGATGCTCCTGACTACCATACAAGTTTAAGAAGATAATATTGGTTTTAAAGAATTCAAAGCTATAAATAAACAGCAACAGGCTCTTTAACCAAGGCAGTGTTAGCCTAACATGTAAACTAGTTGTTCACACTAATCCTAATATTATCACTTAATATTAGCAAATTCTATTTTATTTTTTAAAACATATTGATGTAAATACATACACATATCGATTTGTTGTATAAATATTGCAAATCAAAACCTTTATTCACTAATAATTACCAAAAATCGTAGTTCTATCTCCTGTTATCAATGCATTCACATTGCCCGCCATGAACTTCCGGGGAACGATCCTCGTCTACATGAACCACGTGACGATAACCGTTTTTGGACTTCCGTTGTCGTAACTCTTCTATTATATGGCTCTGGGATCAACCACTTCACTACACCCCCTCTATGTCTGTCAGTCATTGAATACCTCGGGCTGTTACGAGTTGGCAGACCCAGGTATGTCCATAGAGGTTCCAAACGTGGGTTTGTTTACACCTGCTCAGCTGACACTATCCCAACTGTGTGGTCCCGGCGCCCCGTCACCGCCCACTTACGTCATCACAACAAACCACACGTGTGCAGTGTTAACCTGAAGCCCTTGGCCTGTGTTGATGGCATCACTGTTTTATCAGCCATTGCAACATATAACAACTCCCACACATTCATGTTGTTAAATACCCGCTCCCTTAAAGGGATAGTGGAAATCCGCGAATTTTGGGTTTAACTTATGTATTTGTATTAAAAATAAGCATAATAAACAATTTTTTTTAATTTCATGCGCCTAGTTTCATTTTATTTTCAATTTTACTGCGCCCTCTCAATGAAACGAAATACTTCGGGAATCTTCGGGTGATGACGAGAGCATAGGAAGACGGGCACAAACAATGGCGGACATTCAATAGCATTTGCATGTGAATAGCCGACCTTTATTATGGTACCGAGTATATTGCCATAAATATGATGATTGATTATCAGTAAAAAATTCTACGTGACACAACGACATTGGATTAACCTTGAGATGCGTTTTTATTCCGTTGAACACAACTTTTGATCACAAATCAAAAAAGGTAAGACGTAATTATTGTAATATTTTTGGAACCGGATGTTGTTTACTTTCTCT